TATACTCTAGGCTCTCTTCCAGGCCTCTCTTTGGCTTGTAGATGGCTGTTTTCTCACTATGTCTCTTCACATTTCTTCCCTCTATATGCGTCTTTGTGTCCAAATTTTCCAAATTTTTATATAATAACACTAGGCATATTGGATTAGGGCCACTCAATGACCTTACTTTAATTTAATTACCTCTGTAAAAAAAAAAAAAACAACCTCATCTCCAAATAAGGTCATACTCTAAGGTACTCTGGGCTAGGATTTCAACATGTGAACTTTGACAGGACATAATTCAACCCATAATACCTTACTCTAGGCAAACAGAACCTTTTTATCACAAATCAGATCAATTTTGTGACTACCATGGCAATCCAAAAGAACATGGCATGGTCCAAGCTCCATTCCCCCAGGGCGCTTAGTATGAGCAGGAAAGCCAGAAGTGTGGGAAGACATATGCGTGTGTGTGTGTGTGTGTGTGTGTGTGTGAAATTTTTTTTTATTTATTTACGATACTCATACAGAGAGAGAGAGAGAGAGGCAGAGACACAGGCAGAGGGAGAAGCAGGCTCCATGCACCGGGGGCTTGACGTGGGATTCGATCCCGGGTCTCCAGGATCGCGCCCTGGGCCAAAGGCAGGTGCCAAACCGCTGCGCCACCCAGGGATCCCTGTGTGTGTGTGTAAATTGATGAAACATAATCAATATAACTAAGGTGGGATCATAAAGTAATAAAATGGTTTCCAAAAGGCACAGCTTAAATTTAGTCTATTACTTTCTAGCCATAATAGTTACTTGTCATATGTTAAGAATTAACCATGAAAGACTGATCTGGAATGACCTCATGGGGTGAGTTCTAAATAAAATTTTGAAGTAGAAGGGCAATCCAGGTTTAGAGAGGAGAGAGTAGAGCTCTCCTGAGTTGATAACAGGCCAAAGTGGAATGGGGAGGCAATGAACTTTAAAGACTGAAAGAACCAAATATAGTGATGATGAGATATTGAAGCAGTGACTTGAACTTGGAAGATTTTTTAATTTTCTTCGTGTATTTAAGCTAAATAGTCACAGAATTTTGTCTTTCTTCACTGTCTTCTCCCTCAGACCTCTGCCCTATGAAGTGCTCACTCGGCTGATAGATGAGGCTAGTGAAGGGGACATGAGCATCTCAATCCTTACACAGGTGAGCAGAATTATGACACCTGATATGGTGATCAATATTTTTGTTTTCAATTGATCTGGCAATTTCCAAAGACTACAAAGTGGGCTTTGTGAAACTTGGACCATAATTTTTTCTATACTCATTCCATGCACAGGAAATAATGGTATATCTAGCCATGTATATGCGAACTCAGCCTGGCCTCTTTGCTGAAATGTTTCGACTTCGAATTGGTCTAATCATACAAGTTATGGCAACAGAACTGGCCCATTCCCTTCGATGCTCAGGTACTTAATGACTATTTTCGGCAGAATTCACTTTTAATGTAGGTCTATTGAGTTTTGGATCAGGAGGTAAAGAAAGTGAAAACATTTTATCAGTAGGTCAGAAGCTGCATATAGCAATCTTGTTCCCATGCTAGTCAACCTGTATACAAATCATGAGACTGATATGACAAATTTATGTATTAGCTCTGCACTTCAATATTCCACCTCTGCACTCCACATTACGTTCCTTCTAACTCCTAGAGTGAGCCTAAGTGTGCATCAAATTTGAGTGTGACAGACAGTTTGATTCTGACTCAGTCAGTGCAGCTTCTTGACCCCAGATTAAGTCACTGAAGCAGTGTGACCATACTGTCATTATTCTGTCTAGTAAACAACAGGACTGAATAAAGGAATGCCATATTTCTATTAATATTTATCTGACAGAACTCTCTTTGAAATTAACTATAGTTATATTTGGCAAGTTAACAGGTTTAGTTAGAAGAAAAGCAGGGGCCTGTGGAAGCTGTGGCACAAAATTGTATAAAGTGTAAGGGAGGGAAAGGGACCCCCCCCCCCCGGCATGACAGGATTATTTTTTCCATTGGTATTTCTTTGATTTCAATAAGAATGGTACAAAAATGAAATCGGATTTGCAAAACTCAATTTTAGCCATTATTTCTGTTACATTTCCCTGAAAGGCTTTTTTAAAAAGATTTTATTTACTCATGAATGACACACACAGAGAGAGGCAGAGACAAAGGCAGAGGGAGAAGCAAGCTATGCAATGTGAGACTCAAACTCAGGATCCCAGGACCCTGGGATCAGGACCTGAGCCAAAGGCAGATGCTCAACCACTGAGCCACGCAGGTGCCCCTCCTTGAAAGGCTTTTAATTGAGCTACTAACAAGTAGCTAAATTTATTGGCTTGAGTCTAACCTAAATTACATAAGATAATCTATATTAAAATAACCCTTTAAAAGAGCTAATGAAAAAAATAAATAAAAAATAAGAGCTAATGATGATTCTCTACCTACCATATGTCAGACTGTGCTTTTTGCTTTATGTTTACATACATAATCTTTATGACCACCCTCTGGAGAAGGTATATACATGTATATATATATATATGTACACACACACATATATATATGTATATATATATATATTCTCTAGCTATGATATGCAGGGGTGTTTTATTAGGGTCTAATTATTTAATAATAAACCTCAACAAGGGAAAAAATCCAAACATTCTTCACTTTTCTTTAATTGCCTATTACTGATTTTTTTCCCCTGTGGATTCATCAAAACTATGGCTCTTTACTTCTTATGCAATAAAGTCAAGATCCCTGGATCTGATATTCAAGACCCTCAACAGTCTGACCCCTACCTTTTACTACTTTCACAGTATTTTATCCATCACCATCCCTGGAGATTAATGTCTCCTCTTATTTCCAAAACGTTCGTTGTCTGTACTTCTCATTTGGTACTTAGTATAGCCATGTTTTATTGTTGTTTATCTTGTTTGCATGTGTAATCTCTCCCAAATAGTCGTTCAGCTTCTCAAGGTCAAAACCCGTGTCATAACTGTTGGTTTCTAGCATTGTGTAAAGTCATGACCTACATGTAGTAAGCTCTTATTAACTGTGATTTTTTTCTTTTTCAAGTTTTTTTTTGAAAGAAATAGGGTTTTTTATTTTATTTATTTATTCATGACGGGAGGGGGGCAGAGACACAGGCAGAGGGAGAAGCAGGCTTCACGCAGGGAGTCCGATGTAGGACTCGATCCGGGGTCTCCAGGATCACGCCCTGAGCTAAAGGCAGCACTAAACCGCTGAGACACCCGGGCTGCCCCTTTTTAAAGTTTTTATTTAAGTTCCAGTTAGTTAACATACAGAGTAATATTAGTTTCAGGTCAAGAATTTGGTGATTCATCACTTACATACAACACCCTGTGTTCATCACTACAAGTGCCTTACATAGTACCCATCACCCATTTAACCCATCCCCTGCCCACCTCCTATCTAGTAACCCTCAGTCTGTTCTTTATACTTAAGAGTCTGTTTTCTCTTTTTTTCTCCTGTGTTCATCTGTTTTGTTTCTTAAATTTCACATATGAGTGAAATCATATATTTGTCTTTCTCTGACTTATTTTGCTTAGCATAATACTCTCTAGCTCCATCCACATCGTTATAAATAGTAAGATTTGATTCTTTTTGATCGCTAAGTAATATTCCACTATATATGCATGTACATACACACACACACACACAAAGATATATACCACTTCTTTATTCATTCATCAGTCAATGGATATTTTGGCTCTTTCCATAATTTGGCTATTGTTGATAATGCTGCTATAAACATCAGGGTGCATGTATCCCTTCCAATCAGTATTTTCATATCCTTTGGGTAAATACCTAGGTAGTGCAATTGGTAGATCATAGAGTAGTTCTATTTTTAAATTTTTGAGGGACTTCCATATTATTTTCCAGAGTGGCTATACCAGTTTGCATTTCCACTGGCAATGTAAGAGGGTTCCCCTTTCTCCACATCCTCACTAACACCTGTTGTTTCCAGTGTTAATTTTAGCTATTCTGTCAAGTGTGAGGTAGTATCTCATTGTAGTTTTAATTTGTATTTCCCTGATGGTCAGTGATGTTGAGCATCTTTTCATGCATCTGTTGGCTATTTTTATGTCTTCTTTGGAAAAATATCCATTCATGTCTTCTTAACTGGATTATTTGCTTATAGGATGTTGAGTTTGATAAGTCCTTTATAGATTATGGATACTAACCCTTTATCAGATATGTTGTTTGCAAATATATTCTGCCATTCCATAGCCTGACTTTTAGTTTTGATTATTTCCTTTGCTGTGCAGCACCTTTTTATTTTCGTGTAGCCCTAATAGTTTATTTTTGCTTTTGTTCCTCTTGCCTCAGGAGATACATCTATAAAGAAGTTGCCACAACTAATGTCAAAGAGGTTACTGCCTGTGCTATCTTCTAGGATTTTTATGATTTCCAGTTTCCCATTTAGGTCTTTCATCCATTTTGAATTTATTTTTGTGTATGGTGTAAGAAAGTGGTCCAGATACATTCTTTTACATGTTGCTGTCCAATTTTCCTGACACCATTTGTTGAAGACACTGTCTTTTTTCCATTGGATATTCTTTCTTGCTGTGTTAAAGATTAGTTGACCATATAGTTGTAGGTTCATTTCTGGGTTTCCTATTCTGTTTCATTGATCTATGTGTCTATTTTTGTGCCAGTACCACACTGTCTTGATCACTACAGCTTTATAATATAACTTGAAGTCTGAAATTGTGTTGCCTCCAGGTTTGCTTTTCTTTTTCAAGATAGCTTTGCCTATTTGGAATCTTTTATGGTTCCATACAAACTTTAGAATTGTCTGTCAAAAACGCTGGTGGTATTTTGATAGGGATTGCAATAAATCTGTAGATTGCCTTGGGAAGTATAGACATATTTTAACAATATTTGTTCTTTCTAATCCATGAGCATGGAATGATTTTCAATTTCTTTGTGTCGTCTCCAATTTCTTTAGTGTTTTATAGTTTTCAGAGTACAAATCTTTTACAAAATATGCAACAATTCACAAATTTTGCATGTCATCCTTGCTGAGGGGCCAAACTAATCGTCTCTGTGTCATTCCAATTTTAGTATATATGCTGCTGAAGCGAGTATTGTCTGTTAATGATTTTTTTAAAAAGTCCAATCTTCTCGATATTCTTCATGGTTTGAGAGATGCATATCTATTCTCTTTTTAGTCTCTATATTTGCAGACTGGGTTTTTATTATTTTAATGCATCTGCATGTATATATTCACTGCTTTTCTCTGACTGGCTTTCAGTTCTATAGTTCTCCTTCCATTCTTTCAACCTTCAAATAAAGATTCTGCTGAGTACCCTAATGGTGTGGAAGGAGGATGAAGAAGAAATCAAGAATCTGGTTAACCTGTAAACTGGATTAGTCCTTAAATTACTAAGAATCTATTGCAGTACTAACAGTATGGTGCTAAAAATTAAACCTATCTATTTTTCCAATCAATCAAGTGACTCAGAAGTTCTAAGAAAGATAGGAAATAGAGAAAAAATAGGGTGGATATGGCAGACCGACTATAGTCCTCTGTCCTAACATTTCTTTTTTTTAATTTAAATTCAATTAATTAACATATAGTGTATTATTAGTTTCAGAGGTAGAGTTTAGTGATTCATCGCTTGTGTAACACCCAGTGCTTGTTACATCAAGTGCTCTCCTTAATGCCCATCACCCAGTTACCCCATCCTCCCAACCACCTACCCTCCAGCAACCCTCAGTTTATTTCCTATAGTTCAGAGTCTCTCCAATGGCTTGTCTTCCTCTCTGATTTCTTTTTTTTTTTAATATAAATTAATTTTTATTGGTGTTCAATTTACCAACATACAGAATAACACCCAGTGCTCATCCCGTCAAGTGTACCCCTCAGTGCCCGTCACCCATTCACCCCCACCCCCCACCCTCCTCCCCCTCCACCACCCCCAGTTCATTTCCCAGAGTTAGGAGTCTCTATGTTCTGTCTCCCTTTCTGATATTTCTCACACATTTCTTCTCCCTTCCCTTATATTCCCTTTCGCTATTATTCATATTCCCCAAATGAATGAGAACATACACTGTTTGTCCTTCTCCGGTTACTGTGGCCAAGTTAAAAAAGGGTGTTGCCTGAGTTCTTCTCTGGGATTTTGATGGAATCTTGTCTCACATTTAGATCTTTCATCTATTTTGAGTTTATCTTTGTGTCTGGTGCAAGAGAGTGGTCCAGTTTCATTCTTCTGCATGTGGATGTCCAATTTTCCCAGCACCATTTATTTTTTTTTTTATAAATTAATTTTTATTGGTGTTCAATTTACCAACATACAGAATAACACCCAGTGCTCATCCCGTCAAGTGTACCCCTCAGTGCCCGTCACCCATTCACCCCCACCCCCCACCCTCCTCCCCCTCCACCACCTCCAGTTCATTTCCCAGAGTTAGGAGTCTCTATGTTCTGTCTCCCTTTCTGATATTTCTCACACATTTCTTCTCCCTTCCCTTATATTCCCTTTCGCTATTATTCATATTCCCCAAATGAATGAGAACATACACTGTTTGTCCTTCTCCGGTTACTGTGGCCAAGTTAAAAAAGGGTGTTGCCTGAGTTCTCCTCTGGGATTTTGATGGAATCTTGTCTCACATTTAGATCTTTCATCTATTTTGAGTTTATCTTTGTGTATGGTGCAAGAGAGTGGTCCAGTTTCATTCTTCTGCATGTGGATGTCCAATTTTCCCAGCACCATTTATTGAAGAGACTGTCTTTCTTCTAGTGGATCGTCTTTCCTCCTTTATCGTATATTAGTTGACCATAAAGTTCAGGGTCCACTTCTGGGTTCTCTGTTCTGTTCCATTGATCTATATGTCTGTTTTTGTGCCAGTACCACACTGTCTTGATGAACACAGCTTTGTAGTACAACCTGAAATCTGGCATTGTGATGCCCCCAGATATGGTTTTCTTTTTTTAAAATTCCCCTGGCTGTTTGGGGTCTTTTCTGATTCCACACAAATCTTAAAATAATTTGTTCTAAGTCTCTGAAGAAAGTCCATGGTATTTTGATAGGGATTGCATTATACGTGTAAATTGCCCTGGGTAACATTGACATTTTCACAATATTAATTCTGCCAATCCATGAGCATGGAATATTTTTCCAACTCTTTGTGTCTTCCTCAATTTCTTTCAGAAGTGTTCTGTAGTTTTTAGGGTATATTTTGAGAACCATTTGAATGGTAAATGGTTCTCCAACCTTTTATTTTCAGGTTGTAGGTGTCCTTCTGTCTAAAATGAGTCTCTTGTAGACAGCAAATAGATGGGTCCTGTTTTTTTATCCAGTCTGAAACTCTTCGCCTTTTGATGGGGTCATTAAGCCCATTCACGTTCAGAGTTACTTGAACTTCTTCTTAAAGGGGAGTTTTAAGAGTCCCCCTTAAAATTTCTTGCAGAGCTGGTTTGGAGGTCACATATTCTTTCAGTTCCTGCCTGTCTTGGAAGCTCTTTATCTCTCCTTCCATTTTGAATGAGAGCCTTGCTGGATAAAGTATTCTTGGTTGCATGTTCTTCTCATTTAGGACCCTGAATATATCCTGCCAGCCCTTTCTGGCCTGCCAGGTCTCTGTGGAGAGGTCTGCTGTTACCCTAATATTCCTCCCCATGAAAGTCAGGGACTTCTTGTCCCTTGCTGCTTTAAGGATCTTCTCTTTATCTTTGGAATTTGCAAGCTTCACTATTAAATGTCGAGGTGTTGAACGGTTTTTATTGATTTTAGGGGGGGATCTCTCTATTTCCTGGATCTGAATGCCTGTTTCCCTTCCCAGATTGGGAAAGTTTTCAGCTAGGATTTGTTCAAATACATATTCTGGCCCTCTGGCCCTTTCGGCGCCCTCGGGAACCCCAATTAAACGTAGGTTTTTCTTCCTTAGAGTGTCATTTATTTGCCTTAATCTGTCTTCATGGTTCTTTAATTGTTTATCTCTTTTTTCCTCAGTTTCCCTCTTTGCCATTAACTTGTCTTCTATGTCACTCACTCGTTCTTCCACCTCGTTAACCCTCGTCGTTAGGACTTCTAGTTTGGATTGCATCTCATTCAATTGATTTTTAATTTCTGCCTGATTGGATCTAAATTCTGCAGTCATGAAGTCTCGTGAGGCCTTAATGCTTTTTTCTAGAGCCACCAGTAGCTGTAGAATAGTGCTTCTGAATTGGCTTTCTGACATTGAAGTGTAATCCAGATTTTGTAACTCTGTGGGAGAGAGGGCTGTTTCTGATTCTTTCTTTTGAGGTGAGGTTTTCCTTCTAGTCATTTTGCTCAGGGCAGAGTGGCCAAAAACAAGTTGTATTGGAACACGGGGGAGTATCACTGGTCCCTCTAGTTGGTCTTCTGGGGGAGGGGCCTGTTGCGCTGATTCTCAGGTGTTAGCACTTGGGGGAGCTGCTCTGCCCCTGCCTGCTGCAGGGCTCAGCGGGGGTTGTTTACCCCGTGAGGTCTCAGGAGGAACAGTTGCAGTTGCTATGGCAACTCTGGAAGCCTGGATTTAGCCTCCGCAGGAACTACGGGGCTCGGGGCTCTCGGTTCTCCGTCTGCAGGGCCTGGAGGCTCCGGGGCGGGGCCGCTGATCTGCTCAGCTCCGGGCAGGAGCGTCCTTGCTGTCCTGGGCCCTCCCGGCCTCTGCCTGTCCCGGGGGAGGCCGGATCCTGGGCTGTGTCCCGGCGCCCTGTGCTCCGGGGCCTGTGTTGTTGGATTTGCGCTCCCGCCCCGCAGCTCCCTCCCTGGAGCCGCTCCCGAGCCCCTCCGAACTGCTCCGGTGCGTGCTGCAGCCCTTAGGGAGCTCGGAGCACTCTCCTGCGCTCGCAGGTGTCTGTTAGTGTCCCAGGGAGCCTGAGGGCATCCCCGCCCTCCTGGGTCCTGCTCCAACTCCCTGCGAGCCCCTTTCCGCCCGCCGGGGAAGGTTGGTGCAGCTCCTGCTCCTCCGGGACGGGGCTTTCCTGTCCTGGGGACACTCGCCCCGGCCTCAGCCCGGCTCCTCGCGGGGCCCCTCCCCCTCGGAGGCCTTTTGTTTCTTTATTTCTTTTTCCCCGTCTTCCTACCTGGATAGAAGCGCGGACTTTTCTCACTGTAGCATTCCAGCTGGTCTCTCTTTACATCTCAGGCCGAATTCGTAAATTTTCAGGATGGTTTGAAGGTTATCTAGGTAATTTGGTGGGGACAGGTGATTTGGGGACCCTGCTCTTCCGCCATCTTGCCCCTCCCCCTTCCTCTCTGATTTCATCTTATTTTATTTTCCCCTCCCTTCCCCTATGATCATTTGTTTTGTTTCTTAAATTCCACATATGAGTGAAACCATATGATAATTATCTTTCTCTAGTTGACTTACTTTGCTTAACATAATACCCTCTAGTTCCATCCATGTCGTTGCAAGTGGTAAGATTTCGTTTTTTTGATGGCTGAGTAATATTCTATTGTATGTATATACCACATCTTCTTTATCCATTCATCTGCTGATGAATCCACCCATCTGCTGATGGACATCTGGGTTCTTTCCATATTTTGGTTATTGTGGACATTGCTGCTTTAAACATTGGTGTATAGGTGCCCCTTTGAATCACTATGTTTGTATTCTTTGGATAAATAGCTATAGTGCAATTGCTGGGTTGTAGGGTAGCTCTATTTTTAACTTTTTGAGGAACCTCCATATTGTTTTCCAGAGTGGCTATACCAGCTTGCATTCCCACTAAGTATGTGAGAGGGTTCACCTTTCTCTCCACCTTTATCAACATCTGTTTGTTTCCTGATTTGTTAATTGTAGCCATTCTGACTAGTATGAGGTGGTGTCTCATTGTGGTTTTGGTTTGTAATTCCCTGATGCTGAGTGATGTTGAGCATTTTTTTCATGTGTCTGTCGGCCATTTGTATATCTTCTTTGGAGAAATGCCTGCCCATGTTTTCTGCCCATTTTTTGGCTGGATTATTTATTTTGGGGGGTTTGAGGTTGATTAAGTTCTTTATAGATTTTTGGATACTAACCTTTTATCTGGTAAGACATTTGCAAATATCTTCTCCCATTCCGTAAGTTGTTTTTAGTTTTGTTGACTGGTTCCTTTGCTGGGCAAAAGCTTTCTA